ACACACACCGGCCCCACTCGCCCCCGCTCAGCTACCCGCACAAACCCTATTCTAGAATTACAAAGCAAGAGTGTGACACCAGCCCCTCTTCCCCAACCAGCCAACCCACCCACCTACCCAGAGCCCCTCTTGAGGACAGCAGTCGCTCACCACACACCCAGCCCCTTTGCCAACCCCCTTACCCCCTCTCCCCCCCCAACACAAAACCACACACACAAAAGGAAGGTACACAGGGAATGCCAAGTCGTCCCCCCGGGGGCCACCCCGCCCCTACCTGCGGAGGAGCTGCTCTTGCCAGCACCACTGCTGCTGCCCCTCCTGCGCAGCGACCTCCTCCTTCCCAGAAGCAGCGCCCCGAGGCCGAGACCCAGTGCGGCAGAGCCCACGGCGCCAACCAGGAGGAATGGAAATGGTAAGCCACTTAACGGGCCACCATTGGTCGTGGGCGATGGTGATGAGGATGGAAATGATGCGATCAAGCCAGGCTTTTTCGAGCCTGTTTGTCGTTGCTGTTCAGGTTGTTGATTAAGAGCTGGCGCCTGGCTCCCAGGCGAAGAGGTGGCAGCGGTCATCACAGCAGATGGCTAGTTGGTGCACTCGTTGCTTTAGATTGTGATGTTGTTGCGTGGGAAGGTGTAACAAGGATGTAAAATATGACTTTTTCGTTGATGGCTGGGTTCTTTGTGCGCCGCAATAAAGGTATGATTCAACCCGCCGCCAGCGTTCCCGTGGACAATTATATGTTGCTGTAGAAAAAAGCTTTAAGAAATAATGAAGCAACGAAAATTCGTTGCAAGAAGCTCAATTCATCGTTTGGCTTTGTTTTGACTATAAGGGTAAAATCAATCGATCAACGCTATCGGCATAGCATACTGCATAGCATGCAATTACAAAATTTATTCAGGCATCCCTACATGCATGTACACTGTTAAATTGGTCTTCGCCAGGTCATTCTCTACAAGGCGTTGTCATTACAGCCCTTAGGAAATCCCGCATGTCCCTTACGTCATATGTCATAAAACCAACCAGAAGATAGAGCAACTAACCAACCAACCCAATAACCAACTAAACATGGCCAGGGGATACCCTTTTTCCCCACTCCACAGATGAAATGAGAGATGAAATCCGACACCGTCGAGAGCGGTAGCAATAGCAGCAGTAGCAGTAGGGAGCCTTAAAGGCCCCGAGGCCGCGAAGGGCCACACCACACTCGACACACACTCGCCACATTACTGACATACAAACTTATGTCCACGGCCCCTGTGGCTTTTTCGGACGGACACCGCATCCGTACGGAACTTGTAACTTGTAACCTACATACACCTACACACCTACATACACACCTACATACACACCTACACACACACACGCCACTCCTCTTTCGCCCCCTCCCACCCACCTCCCCTGCACTCCCGAGCACCCTGAGATGGGCGAGGCGGGTGGAGGGGCATTCACGTCTTTGCGTTCAAATAATTTTTGTAATCACAACCATCGTCACTACCATGACAATCACCAGCATCACATACTTACAGCAGAGCCAGTCTCCATTCCGTACACCTGTGCGCCCGTACGCCCGGACATCCGTACTCATCCCCTCCCTTCTACACAAACCTAACCCCTCAGTTGACATCCGCATTCATCCCCCCTCCCCCCACACACATTCTCTTCCCTACCCCTTCGCCTCTCCGAGACATACATACATACATACACACACAGCCTCATCCTGGCCCCTGGCATTTCATTGCGCTGTCCTCAAGAGGTGGGGCTCCCCTTTCCCCCCTCCCCCCCCCCCGG